GGTGTAAGCCGTGCTGTGAGGTTGTGTGTTGGGTCTGCACTCCTGCAGGACAGGCGTGGAGTCGGGCGGACGGCGACCGCAACGCGGTGGTGGGGGCAGACGGCACGGGCTTGCCGGCTGTCCGCCTGGAGAGGTGGGCGCAGAGAAGGCTCGGCCAGCCCTGTGGGCGTCCGGGGGGAGCGAGGGGACAGTTAAAACCCATGAGAACGCACCTATGAGGAGGCAGAGGGAGAAGCCAAACGCGACGTAGCAGCCGGCGATGACTGATAGCACCGTCAGCTTGAGCCACCCAAACTTGGCCTTCTCCTCGCCTGGGCGGGCCGGGGGCGTTTGAACGAAAGAGAAGTGAGTTTGGTGCGAGGACAGGCAAGTGGCACTTGCTTTTCTTGGCGTTGAGAAGCCTGTCGTGTTCACACACACAGGGGGTTGCATGCGGCAGCAACGCACGCAAAAGTGATGCATGCGGCAGCAACACACTCAACAGCCATGCATGCGGCAGCAATGCCAACATTGGCGATGCGCGAGACAGCAACGCACGCATCAGCAGCAAAACAAGCCCCAAAGCAAGGCCGGCGCAGGGGGAAGCTCGCTGCCGCGGCGCATGCGGCGTCAGCGACCCAGCGGCCCCAGCCCCAGCTGCAGGCGAGGTCCCCAGGCGCGGGGCCGGCGCAGCGGCGCACCATGGTGGGCGCACTCCGCGTATATTTCTGGGGGCGTGAGGATGAGGCTCTTGCGCACGGCCATGGCCTCGAAAGCGGCGGACGTGTGGGCTGGCGGGAACCGAGGCATCGGACAACCCGTCTGCGAGGAGCATGTTTGGGGTGAACAGGGGGGAGAGGGGATGGGGCCGGGTGCATGCAGCAAGGCCCGAGCTGCCATGGTCCTGGCCTGCAGCAGCGACCCGCATGCGAGAGGCCCCGCATGGTGTCTTTCAGCATGCGGGGGCGCGCATGCGCCCATGACCGCGGCTCCTGCCCTGCTGGGCAGAGGAGCCGGACGCCCTGGGAGGACGGAGAATGCACCGCCCTGCCGCGCCCCCATGCCCCTGCTGCGCGGCAGGCCCGACGGCCATGCGGGGCTAGCCATGCGGCCCCAGATTCTTCCTTTATCGTGATCTGCACACACCGTGTGATCGTCATGGTCGCCGTGGGTGCGCGCCCGCCGGGGCGTCACTGCTGGGGCCCCGCCGCAGCCGTCGCCCCCGCTATGAGCAGACGGGCGTCGCTCTAGGTCGTTGCTGCCATTGCTGCCGTCGCTGCCGGCCTTGATGGTGAGCACCGCGAAGTCCTGCTTGGGCTGCAAAGAGGTGCGGGCGCAGCGTAAAGCGCGCGCGTCGGCGAGCGGCGTGATGCGCGGCGACGCGGCGGGGCGACCGGGAGCAACGGCAGCGCGCCGCTCGCGGGCAAACATACCGTTGTATTTATCTGCATTGTGTTTCACGCAATTCGACGGCCGTCCGCGAGCGCGCCTATGATGCCTCAGGCACGTCTCGAATCAAATCCGAAGGATATATCGATGGATAGGCTGGTGACAAGATATCAGAGTCGTGTAGTAGACTTTTTGTTTGCGGACGCACGTGTATGCCACGATTGGCCACACCGGTCTTGCTTTGGGTGCCGAGAATGGCGGGATTGCAACGTGCACGTGCAAAGGGCTGGCGGCCGGCTGGGTGAATACAGCAAAATGTTTGAGCTAGAAGTTCACGTGGTGCCCCATGCGAGGGGGCAGGTCGCTTCACAATCTCTTCGAGGCACATGGCAGATGACTCGCCCACATGACGATGTGTCCACGTGACGCAACTCACATGCGCTACACCTGCGCACACACAGGCGCATCCCACATGCATCCGCACAGCCTGATGCGGCCCTTGTCGTTTCAAGCGGCCCCTGCTTTCTGAACAAAACAACTGTTTGTAATAACTGTCCCAGCGTCGGCCCCCAGCAATGCCAGAGTATGCGGTGGCCAGCTGGTGCGCGCTGCTGAACATGACAACAAGTAATATGGTAGCCAGGCTTAGCGTGGATGCTTCGTCACCTGCGCGCCCATCACGACCCCGTGCTGTCCAACCCCTCAGGCTGCGTCAAACCTGTTTGCAAACCCCAGGCGTGCCAGTCAAAAGGCTGCGATTCGATGCGTTACACGCGGCGCTGCATGCCTTGCATCAGCAGCAGAATGAGCCGCTGCTGCAGGCCCTCAAAAAAACACATTCCAGGACCAAAGGCAGTGACCTGTGAGGGCATGTGCGTGTGGGGCACCGACCGTCAGGAAAGCGCTGCAAAAGGGAAACCCGCTTGGCGCCGTACAAAGCAAGCATGCGTGCGTCGATAAGAAGTGCTGCAGCAGCTCCCAGCCTATTGAAAGGAAAGGCCACAGGCGCGGACAAGCAGGCCCTTCACCACGGCAGCTCCGCACCAACCAGGCTCCAGGCAGTAGCGTGCACCCAGCAACCCCACGCGTGGCCGGACACAAGCATGCAGACCGTACGGTTGAACCCAGCCGCTGGCGCCCACCTTAGTCGGCCTTGCGCACGACCTCGGCCACGGTGAAGCGCTTGTTCTTGCTCAGCGGCCGGCAGCCCTCCAGGCGCACGTAGTCGCCCACCGAGGCGGTCGAGTTCTCGTCGTGGGCGATGTAGCGCTTGGTGATGCTGTTGTGGATCGTTTTGGGCGAGGACAACATCGGGCTCAGCGTCCGCCGGTGGAGCGGGGTGCGGCAGAAGCCAGTGACGGGTGCCCGAGAGTGGCCCTTGCCGGACCCTGCCACCCCCATGCAGTGCTTGACACCGGGCCTGCCGATCAGCAGCTGTCCAAAACAGATGCCGCGACAAATCAGCTCCAGCCGGCCCTCGTGCCCAGCTGCCCTCGGCTCACCGCACGCGCTTCTGGTACTCCCCGTGGGGCGACAGGCGCTCCACCGCCACCACCACGCCCTTGTTCATCGACGTGGACACAACCTTGCCCTGCGTGCGCGCGCAGAGCCCAATGGCGCAGCGATGAGCGCGCTGGGCCAACACGCCCAACCTGCGCTGCATTGACCCGAAGGAGCGAACGCGTGCCACTGCCGCCGCCGCTGCGCCTGCATCGAGACGGGCGCCCTCGAGCTTGCAGCCTGTCCAGCATAGCCCATTGGCAACATAGAACTCGAATCCATATCGCTCCGCAGGCCATTCGCACCTGCAGCGACTGGCTGGCGCGCACCACCACCGTGCGAGCCCGAGTGGCAGGCCGCATGCTGCTGCTGAATGCCCGCTGCTGAGAGATAGCCTGCATTTTGCCTGTGTTTTCTCTCACTCTACCGGCGCTGAGGTGTGGGACTCGTCTGTGGTGAGCAGAGCAGTCGACGGCTGCAGGACGCTAGGCGAGAGCTTGTGTGATGCAAGTGAATCGCGCGATATCGAAAACAGTCTGTGTATGTGGAGCCAGAGAGCTCGTTCAACAAGTCCAGGGGGTATTGGACGGGCGGTGTGTGCACAATGGCCCCAGGATGGATGGGGCCCTCCGTCTCTGCGGTGTACGTGCTATATATGTACGTTGATCATTACATCAATTCGTTCACTGCGCGCTGCCAACTGACTCTGGTGACACCAAGATCAATATTTACAAGCTCCCGCCAAGGATCCCGGCATCGACAGCCCCGCAAACATGGCGCAATTGCATGGTGGAGGGCATGAATGTTGCGTCTCAGAACCAGCAGGCCCCGTGGGCGGCCGCGGCGGAGGCGAGCGCGTCGTTTTTGGACATGACGCAGCAGCGGTGCCGAAGGACACGCAGATGGCGGCCACTGCCGACCTGCTGCGCGAGCTGGAGGACATGACGTTCGACCCCGCCCTCGAAGGCTGCTGCCGCCGCGACGTCGTCGAGAACATCAGGTCCGGCCGCGTGAAGCTCGCGCTGCAGGGCGCCGACCGCGCCGCGGCGCGCGCGCGGATGCAGCAGCGGGCCGTGCTGCGGGACCCGGCCGCGGCAGCGGCGCTGCTGGCCTCGCGCCGGCGAGACGCCCCGAACCATAGCTTGGGCGGAGGCGACGGCGACAGCAGCGGCAGCGGCGGCAGCGACCTGGAAGGGGCGGATGGCGAGCTCGACCCCCGCACCAAGCCGCGCGCCGCGGGCGCGGGTGACGTGGGTGATGCGGGTGACGCTGACCTGGACGCGCTGCGCGCGGCGCGGATGCGGCAGCTGCGGGCTGCGGCGGCGGCGCGTGAGGGCGGGCGCGCGGCGGGGTACGGGCGGCTGAACGACGTCCGGCCAGAGAAGCTGCTGGTGGGTGCAGCAGGATGGGCTTGTGTGTGCGTCTGTTGATGCGTATGTGGAGGGGTTTGGCCCAAAAGTTTGAGCAGGCAATAATCAGCTGCTGGGCTAGGCTGCTCGCCGCTGGATCGGGCGGCATCGGGCAACCGACATCGGATCCGCCCCGCGCATGGCAGTCCCAAAGGGGGGCCGCTGACCGCACGCACGCAGCAAGCCCGCGCAGCGCTCCCGCACGCCGCACCCCCACCCGCGGCGCCCCCGGCCGCGCCCCCCGCAACCCTTGGCGACGCCCTTCCCTCCGCCACGTGCACCACGCCCCCCCCCTCCCCCCCCC